GAACCATCAACATGGAACCACCAACATGGAACCATCAACATGGAACCACCAACATGGAACCATCAACATGGAACCACCAACATGGAACAACCAACATGGAACCATCAACATGGAACCATCAACATGGAACCACCAACATGGAACCATCAACATGGAACCACCAACATGGAACCACCAACATGGAACCATCAACATGGAACCACCAACATGGAACCATCAACATGGAACCATCAACATGGAACCATCAACATGGAACCACCAACATGGAACCATCAACATGGAACCATCAACATGGAACCACCAACATGGAACCACCAACATGGAACCATCAACATGGAACCACCAACATGGAACCACCAACATGGAACCACCAACATGGAACCACCAACATGGAACCACCAACATGGAACCACCAACATGGAACCATCAACATGGAACCACCAACATGGAACCACCAACATGGAACCACCAACATGGAACCACCAACAAGGAACCATCAACATGGAACCACCAACATGGAACCATCAACATGGAACCATCAACATGGAACCACCAACATGGAACCACCAACATGGAACCACCAACATGGAACCATCAACATGGAACCACCAACATGGAACCATCAACATTGAACCATCAACATGGAACCACCAACAAGGAACCATCAACATGGAACCATCAACATGGAACCACCAACATGGAACCATCAACATGGAACCACCAACATGGAACCATCAACATGGAACCACCAACATGGAACCATCAACATGTGTTCAGTTACTCCCCTCCTCTGTACTCGGACAATCCCAAAGATTCCATTCCATGTTCTTCCGCTTCATCCGGTGCCGGGTCGCAGGGGCAGCAGTCTGAACAGAGACGCCCAGACTTCCCTCTCCACAGACACTTCCTCCAACCCAAAAGATACCTATCTATAAATATCTACATAAATCCCAAAGATATAATGGTGTTTTCTGGCTGTAGCCCTCCCTCACCTTTCCCGATCCGCAGCGTCCGCTCAGAGCAGCACTGGACCTTTAATGCCACACTCTTCCCCCCGAGGCCGTGGCGAGATAATACAAACGCCACAGTATTCCAGCAGTATCCCAAAGTCACCATCCCACGCCCTTGTGATTTTTTTATTTACCTCTTTATCTGAGCTTTTTTCCAAGATGTCCGCCGCCTCCCCTCCACATCCCGCCTCCTCCGCTCATGTCATATCTCCCTTCAATTCCACGTATCTTGAATTAGGCGCAGATAGGTCTAAGTACCCGCAGTGCCGTGGAGATGGAGCGTAGAGTGGTCTTTTGGCGTGACACTAAAGCGCCGTAATGTGCAGTGTGTGGACTGTTCCTGTACCAGCGACATTTGAGGACTCTCTCCACATTCTGAAGACGTGTTATTGTAGAGGGATTATGCATCATTGTCTTTGAGGAGTGGCTCTCTGTGGAGGCTTTCACTACAGAGCAGGCCCAGCAGGGGCTCTTAACCAGGGGTGTCCAAACTTTTGGGCCAGTTTAGCTCACCAGACTAGTCCAGGGGCCGACGTCACGGACTGAAAAACTGTCTTGACTGGTATCGGGCTGTTCGGAGCTGTATAATGATCTATAACGGAGCTGAAGTTGGCTGAATGATACATGTTCACCATCTCACCAGTCAACTCTAGAGCTATAAAATGAGGTACGACGTGTCTATATGGACGGAGCTGAAGTTGGATGGATGACACAGTTAACTTGTGTTTATGATTTTAAAGACTACTGTGGGTTGGCAAGACAGAGGACCACAGAGGATGACTCTGAGGGCCGCATCTGGCCCCCGGGCCTGAGTTTGGACACGCCTGCTCTGAACAAACACACATCTGACCCAAACCATACACAAAACTGTACACACAACTGCACACATAACGGTACACAAAACTGTACACACAACGGTACACAAAACTGTACACACACCTGTACACACAACTGTACACAAAACTTTACACACAATTGTACACACAACTGGGAACAGCCATCGGAGCCGAGTCTGAAATAATGTTTTTTGTGTTCTCTTTCTGTAAATGTGGCTCCAGATCAGTTTATGTGTGTGTGTAAGTGTAAGTATGTGTGTGGGTCGCTGAATGTGTGTGTGTGTAAGTGTGTGTGAGTGTGTGTGCTTGTGTGTGTGTGTGCTTGTTTGTATGTGTGTGTAAGTGTGTGTGCTTGTTTGTATGTGTGTGTGTAAGTGTGTGTGTAAGTGTGTGTGTGTGTGTGTGTGTAAGTGTGTGTGTATGTGTGTGTGTAAGTGTGTGTGGTTGCGTGTGTGTGTGCTTGTTTGTGTGTGTGTGTGTAAGTGTGTGTGTGTGTAAGTGTGTGTGTGTGTAAGTGTGTGTGCGTGTGTGTGGGTGTAACTGTGTGTGCTTGTGTGTGTGCGTGTGTGTAAGCGTGTGTGTGTAAGTGTGTGTGCATGTGTGTGTGTAAGTGCGTGTGTGTGTAAGTGTGTGTGTGTGTAAGTGCGTGTGTGTGTAAGTGTGTGTGTGTAAGTGTGTGTGTGTGCATGTGTGTGTGTAAGTGTGTGTGTAAGTGTGTGTGTGTAATCCTTGTAAGCAGTTTAAATGGGGCCCATGTGTCGGTGAAGACAGAGGAAGGATGTGAAGGAGGTCGGTCCCAACGGAGGCGCACTCAGAGACCGTTTAATCTTTTAAAAACACAATCCAGAGATCCACTGTGTGACATCACACACCTCCTTTGTGACATCACACACCTCCTCTGTGACATCACACACCTCTTCTGTGACATCACACACCTCTATGACATCACACACCTCCTCTGTGACATCACACACCTCCTCTGTGACATCACACACCTCTGTGACATCACACACCTCTATGACATCACACACCTCCTCTGTGACATCACACACCTCCTCTGTGACATCACACACCTCCTCTGTGACATCACACACCTCCTCTGTGACATCACACACCTCTGTGACATCACACACCTCTGTGACATCACACACCTCTATGACATCACACACCTCCTCTGTGACATCACACACCTCCTCTGTGACATCACACACCTCCTCTGTGACATCACACACCTCCTCTGTGACATCACACACCTCCTCTGTGACATCACACACCTCTGTGACATCACACACCTCTATGACATCACACACCTCCTCTGTGACATCACACACCTCTGTGACATCACACACCTCTATGACATCACACACCTCCTCTGTGACATCACACACCTCTGTGACATCACACACCTCTACACAAATGAAGCCGGAGCAAGAGGAATGTTTAGTAAATGTCATTAAGGCTGTTGTGGCTCTACTCCCCACGGGCTCTGCTTGTGGCTAAAGTTTTTAAATCTTTGCACGGACAGGCCCTGATTACATCTCGGACCTCATCCAAATGTACACTCCTGCGCGTGCCCTGAGGTCCGAGAGCCAGCTCCAGCTCGTGGTCCCTAACGCGAGACTTCAAACCCGGGGACAGAGCCCTAAGCTCTGGAACGCTCTGCCCCTCCATGTCCGGACGGCCCCCAGTGTTTTAAGTCTCGTCTTAAGACCCACTTTTACTCTTTGGCTTTTAACACTGCGTGAGTTGTGTGGTCCTCTGTGTTTTTATTTTATTCTATTTTATTTCTATTTATGGTTTTAATCTGTTTTATATATTCTTTTTTCTTTTATACTTGGTGAAGCTAAGGATACGTTTTTATTTATTTTATACTTTTCTGTGCAGCACTTTGGAAACGTAACTGTTGTTTAAACGTGCTATATAAATAAAGTGGATTGGATTGGATAAAGCTAGGCTAAATGCTAAAGCTAGGCTAAATGCTAAATGTCTCACTCACTCGGGCTCATTACAAACGTCACAGTAAACTCAGATCCAATGGTTTCACTCTGCAAAAGGAGTTAGCCCCTCCCACCTGTTCACGGAGTCAATGGAGCAGATCCAGACCTTTGTATGAAATGAAATGAGTGCCATGGTGTGGTAAGACCTGGCTAACACTGTATACACCTATTAGCAGTGTGACAACCCTTTACTGACAACTTTATTGAGTTAATTACAGCCCACACACACAGTTTAACACGAATCCAGCTGTGAGCGGCATCTTCGGCGTCTACGGGCGTCTGCTCGGTTAATAGAGAAATAGCGGCACCAATTACGGTAATGACTCACGATTAGACGCCCGGAGAGGGGGGGCGCGAACAAGACGTGACCCCCAGACCCCGGCAGCTACTCCGCACCCGACCCCTCCGCCACACGCACAAGAGCATGATTGCTGCCTGAGAGAAGGGCCGAGGTCGCCAAGGACCAGAGGGAGACGTGCGCCGTGAGAGCACTTAGCCGCCACGCTCCACACCACGACCGGAGAGCGCTCCAAGGAAAATGCACACGCCGTGAAGAGAGAATGCGATTACGTTGGGCGAAAGAAAAATATGTCAAAATGCTAGAAAGGAGTTTGGAGCAATTTCTGTGTCTTCTTCTTTTGTTCCAGGAAGTTTGGTCAGAAGTGGGTTTCAAAAAGTCGTTCAAAAGTCAAAAAAATAAACTCTGCTGCGATACAAAATGGAAAGATTCTAAAGGTTAATTCAATGTTTTTAAGTTTAGTCCTGAATCACATGTTTACAAAGATCAGAGGAACAAACAGGCTGTGAAGACTATTCCAATGTGGTTTTACAGCAAACGCTAAATACACTAAATCTGAATATAATAAATGTATTGTAGAAAAAATAACCCTGAGATTCATTCATTCATTCATTTTCCCACGGCTGCTAGAATTTCATTTTTAAAACCACTTTAACTAACCCACAGGAGGGTAGTCCCTGTGCTCCTCAGAGTCCCAGCAGGAGTCCAGTCCCTGTGCTCCTCAGAGTCCCAGCAGGAGACCAGTCCCTGTGCTCCTCAGAGTCCCAGCAGGAGGCCAGTCCCTGTGCTCCTCAGAGTCCCAGCAGGAGGCCAGTCCCTGTTGGAAAAGGTTTTTAAAAGTCACATTTTGTGGATAAATCGTTGAAAAGCTGCTGTAGTGAGTCCTCCTCCACGGCCCTGAGGTCTGAGGACTCTCAGGTCTGAGGACTCTGAGGTCTGAGGACTCTGAGGTCTCTAAACGCCATTGTTCATGCTAACGCGCTGAGTGGTTTGCTTTGTGGTTCCACACAAAGATGGCGGTGGACGGTGGTTACACATTCCTCTGCTTTCCTGGTTTCCAACGTACACATGGTCGCACACATGGTCTCAGAATCCGTTGGTAAAGTAAAGAGACTTAACTTCAGGAAGTCTCAAAGGGATGTCAAACTGAGAGAAAGAGAGAGAGAGAGAGAGACCAGAGAGCAACCAGAGGGAGATACAAGAGAGAGAGACCAGGGAGAGAGACCAGAGAGACCAGGGAGAGAGACCAGAGAGACAGAGACCAGAGCGATAGAGACCAGCGTGTTAGTATTAGATAGCAATATGGCCTACGTGCAGGACTGTACAAGGACTCCATGTTATGACTATGATGTGACTGTCTCTGTGTGACACGTATGTCTTTCGATGTGTGACGTGACAATGACTATATAAACTGTGTACTGCCTTTATTCTGTCTGAGAGAAAGAAACAAAGTAAACCACTGGAACTTGAGAGAAACTTAAATAAACTTCCAGAGTTTGGCGCACCACGATCCGTCTCTGTCTGCTTCATCCCTGACAAGCGAGATAGAGACCAGAGAGAGAGACCTGAAAGAGACCTGGGAGAGACCAGAGAGAGAGACCAGAGGTAGAGACCAGAGAGAGACCAGGGAGAGAGCCCTGGTCTATATCTTTGTGACAAAATGAGTCAGATTCTGGTAAATCTCAAACAGGAAACAGTGGTAACTTAGACCCAGTTTACTGAGTGAGAGTTTACTGCTGTGCCGTGCCATGGAGTCCTGCACCTGAATACTAAACATGTGACAACGGTACAAGCGGCGCCACCCGGGACCGAGCTCGACTGAATTCAACATCTCCCGTCACCGTTGGAACGCCATGTACCGGAGACGTCAGTTGGAACGCCATGTACCGCAGACATCACCGCCGGCCCTGGTCTGAAACCTCCCATTCATCTCCCACTGTCAGAAAACTCACAATCCTTTAATCAACGCCAACGCCGCTGCACGGGCCTCTCTCACATCTTCAAACGCCCTTACAAAACTATCCAACGACCATGACTTTCTGGAGATAGACGCGCAAACGCCTGATGAGCAAGATAGGGGGTGCCGATGGGAGGACAGAGGAGGAGATAGGGCGGAGATGAGAGGAAGCGATTGCGGCCTGAAGGACACGTGTACTTAGATAAGAGATAGCATCGCCCAAGATTTGTATCGCCGCCGCTATCTCTGCCAAGCACGCTCTGTTAATGGACCACAAATGGAGCCAGAAAGAGACCAGGGAGAGACCAGAGAGAGACCAGGGAGAGACCAGAGAGAGACCAGAGAGAGACCAGAGAGAGACCAGAGAGAGACCAAAGAGAGACCAGATAGAGACCAGAGAGAGACCAGAGAGAGACCAGAGAGAGACCAGAGAGAGACCAGAGAGAGACCAGGGAGAGACCAGAGAGAGACCAGAGAGAGACCAGGGAGAGACCAGAGAGAGACTAGAGAGAGACCAGAGAGAGACCAGAGAGAGACCAAAGAGAGACCAGATAGAGACCAGAGAGAGACCAGAGAGAGACCAAAGAGAGACCAGATAGAGAGAGACCAGAGAGAGACCAAAGAGAGACCAGATAGAGAGAGACCAGAGAGAGACCAGGGAGAGACCAGAGAGAGACCAGAGAGAGACCAAAGAGAGACCAGATAGAGAGACCAGAGAGAGACCAAAGAGAGACCAGATAGAGAGACCAGGGAGATCATAGAACCTGGTCTGTCCGTCTGTCTCTATGGCGTTCTCTACGTATGCGGCTCTATAGAAACGGACGCCTTTTCAAGCCCGCTCTGGATGCGGCGTGTCTTTTCGCTGCCGATGCTGCTTTCAAACCATTATGCGGCTGTTATGTTGCAAACGAGTGGCGGTGGAGAACAAGGGAGAGCGGCGGAGCGAGAGAGAAGGGGGAATTACCTAATTGAATGAAATCATTTCTCCAAGTTGGCAAACCGGTTCAAGTGCTATTAAGTTGTTGACGGGCTGGCTCCGGGTTGGTCTCCCTGGCACGAGCGCTCGGAGTTGGCGGTGAGGGTGGGGGGAGGGTGGAGGGAGGGTGTGTTGGGGGGGGGGATTGTCATTGGTTGGGTGTGTTGGGGGAGTGGGAGCCAATCACGTGGACAGATGGGTCGTCAGCGCGCTAATGTGTGACTGGCCGAAAGCAGAGGAGCCTTGGATGGACTGAGGTGTAGTTTCTGTTCCATGCACCGCAAAATGTCACGTCTGGAGTTTTATAGCTGGGGGGGGGTCTTCACAATAATAGGACATGCTTCACTTCACAAAACTGTAGAATTCTCCAACACGGATCAGAATCAAAGAGTTCAGAGATAAGAAAACACACAGACATTGGTCGATACATAGCCTGGCCACGTCTGGGTCTGGTCCCTGTGTTAGCGAATACAATCGGTCGTATTTCAACCGGCTACTCAGAGAGCGCGGAAGGCGGGTGTTGAAGGTCGGTGCCGGTGACGTCAAGAGTTTGCGCCGAACGGGCAGGTTGTAGTTTGGCAATGCCGAAGAATGCGATAGTAAAGTAATCCGGTCTGGTTCTATCAAGAAATTGAAGGCGGAGCAAGAGGAATGTGTAGCAAATGTAATCGCTGGTCAAGATTGTGGTGCTACTCCCCACGGGCTCCGTTGGCGGCAAAGGAGATGGCTAAAGCTAGGCTAAATGCTAAATGCTAACAACACACTCAGGCGCACTACATACGTTACGGTAAACTCAGATCCAATCGTTTCAATCTGCAAAAGGAGTTAGCCCCTCCCACCTGTAAAAGGAGCTCAATGGAGCAAATCCAGACCTTAGTATGAAATGTAATTTGTACTATGGTGTGGTACGACCAGGCTAGTTGATACAGGGTGGATGACAGAAATCCATAAATGTGGTTGAATGTGGAGGGCCCTGGATCATCACTACTGTCCTTGGACTCTCTGCGACGGCAAAGAAAAGAAGAATCTTCTGAAAACCAAGTGGGAGAAAAGTGAGAAACCTTCGATCGGCTGCACACGGGCAGCGGGCTACGGCAGACCCCCTCAGTATCATCTCATTAAATATGCTAATTCTTCTGATGAAATGAAAGTGAAAGTATGAGTACAGAGGATGTAAATATATAAATCGAGGCGACAGTAGCTCAGTTGGTAGAGCGTTGGCCTTTGAGCCAGAGGGTTGTGGGTTCGAGCCCGACCTTCACCATCGACTCTCACTGTCTGCTGTCGTTGTGTCCTTGGGCAAGACACTTAACCTCTGGGAACAGCAGGTGCCACAGTGGGGCGGCTGCGGCTGTAAAGTGCCGTTGTGTCCTTAGGCAAGACACTTCACCCCCATTGCCTAGAATGAGTCTGGTGTGTGTGAATGGTTGGTGGTGGTGGGAGGGGCCGATGGCACTGACTGGTTGCCTCACTTCTGTCAGTGTGCCCCAGGGCAGCTGTGGCTACAGTAGTAGTTTATCACCACCGTGTTTGGAGAGAGAGAATAATGACACATGTGAAGCGTCTTTGAGAGTCCAGAAAAGCGCTGTATAAAAGTGATGCATTATTATTATTATTATTATCATTAATCCCTGTACGGCTGAGAGCGTGCACAAACTCATGTGTGCGTGTTGGTGTGTTGTTACAGCCTTATTACTAACAGGGAGTTCTCGGCGATGGACCAAAAGGTTGGGGACCACTGCACGGATTAATATTTTTAACACTTTTCACATTTTTTGCAGTGATGGACTTTGCCAGAACTTGCTCCAAGCATCACGTGGCTGCAGAACACTTCCCTGCAGTCGTAAAGAGGAGTGTGTGTGTGTGTGTGCGTGCGTGTGTGTGTGTGTGTGTCCCTGTGTGTGTGTATGTGTGTGTGTGGCGTCCTTGCGCATGGCGGGCCAAAACACATTAGCGCACATCTGTCCACTCGTCTCCTCTTCGCCGCTGAAGAGCTCTCGTGTGCGCTGAGGTTTTCTCTGTCCGTTCACTTCACTCTGGGGAACAAAAGCCTGACTTTCCGAGGTCTCTGGCCGCCATGATTCGTAGCCGCCGCGACCCACCGCCACCACCACGATCCACCGCCGCTGCCGCGATCCACCGCCACCACCACGATCCACCGCCACCGCCACCACCACAATCCACCGCCACCACCACGATCCACCGCCGCTGCCGCGATCCACCGCCACCACCACGATCCACCGCCGCTGCCGCGATCCACCGCCACCACCACGATCCACCGCCGCGATCCACCGCCACCACCACAATCCACCGCCACCACCACAATCCACCGCCACCACCACGATCCACCGCCACCACCACGATCCACCGCCACCACCACGATCCACCGCCACCACCACAATCCACCGCCACCACCACGATCCACCACCACGATCCACCGCCACCACCACAATCCACCGCCGCGATCCACCGCCACCACCACAATCCACCGCCACCACCACAATCCACCGCCACCACCACAATCCACCGCCACCACCACAATCCACCGCCACCACCACAATCCACCGCCACCACCACGATCCACCGCCACCACCACGATCCACCGCCACCACCACAATCCACCGCCACCACCACGATCCACCACCACGATCCACCGCCACCACCACAATCCACCGCCACCACCACGATCCACCGCCGCGATCCACCGCCACCACCACGATCCACCGCCGCTGCCGCGATCCACCGCCGCCGTCACGATCCACCGCCGCCGCCGCTGAGATCGGTTCTCACCGCCGCGATCGGATCTGTGTTGAAATACACACAGAGGCCGCTGTTGTGATGTATGTAGGATTCATATTGCCTTTAGTGTCAGAGAACGTAAGACGTTTTGCAGCAGCGGCTCTACTCCAAGCTCCCTTCTGGACATGATCTATTTTGGGCCTAAATATTCACAGTTTGTACATTTTATTTGCAGTGAGACTCTTCCTTCTGCTCTGATCAAATACCGAATGAAACTATAGGCAATTCAATCTGGAGAGACTTGAGAAGACAAAATGCATTTTGAATGTTTTTATTGAAGGTAGTTTGGCGCCTTAGGCCTCGGTGCGGCGTTCAGTCAGCGAGGCTCCTGCGAGAGTGCGCGCACAATCCCCCGGGACCTAGGCACTGGTGGTGGCATTCGGGCAGCAGGGAAGAGGCATGTTTGAGACAGGGTGAGAAAAGGAGGAGGAGGGGAGGCGGTGGTTTGCAAGGCTTCGAGAAGGCCGTAAAGTGGGAGTTCTCCGGTTTTAAGCTGGAAATGGCGTTTGCTGCGATAGGCCGAGGATGCGAGGCCGGCCTGGAAGGGGTGGCTTTAGCCGTCAGTCTTCCAGAGTTGAATTTCCGCGAGGCTGCATCACACACAAATACATTGATTTGAATTCCACAGAGCATTGGACTTTGAGTCTGAAGGTTGTGGGTTCAATCCCCCCAGACTACAACCTTCTCCAACTGCTCCCATACATTTCTGCTGTCGTTGTATCCTTGGGCAAGACACTTAACCCCATGTTGCCTGAAGCCCCCGCTGAATGAATGAATGAAAACAACAGACAGCTGCATAGAGTGAACGATGACTTATGTCCATCTGCTTTTTACACATTTATTCACTTGTTGACGTAGCGCTGAAAAATTAAGATTAAGATTAAGATTAAGATTGAGATTAAGATATCCTTTTTTTGTGCCACAGCGGGGAAATTCCAATGTTGCATCACAAGTTACAGAACAGTAGGAAAGAGGAGCACACAGGACAAGATAAATGAACATAAAGAAACATAAAGCGCTAAACGATTAACCTCTCCTCGTACCTGTGAGTCTGATTTCCACATCTACAGACGTCCCTGTGACAGAGACACGAGGACTAAAAACGTACTAAAACATAATTATGATGAAATAATTCCTGTGAAAGACAAACATGAGGTCACCGTCCGGGAGCAGGAGAACATGCAACGCTCCGTCTCTGATTCCATTCCAGTTATTCACTGAATGGAAGCTTTTGTCTTTGCTGAACAAAAGAAGACCTCAGTTTGATTCTTCAAAGTGGTCAAAGAGCAGCTCAAGAATCTGAACGAAAGAAAATTACAGATATTTTTATGAAGTCACGCCGAGGGCTCGAGGAAGTGAATTTGTTTTGGTGGATTTTCACTTCGAACGTTTGTTGTTCAGGGAAAAATCTACTCTTACTACAGTTTGACAGTGTAACAGTACTCTTACTACAGTCTGACAGTACTCTTACTACAGTGTTACAGTACTCTTACTACAGTCTGACAGTGTAACAGTACTCTTACTACAGTCTGACAGTGTAACAGTACTCTTACTACAGTCTGAGAGTACTCTTACTACATTCTGACAGTGTAACAGTACTCTTCCTACAGTCTGACAGTACTGTTACTACAGTCTGACAGTGTAACAGTACTCTTACTAAAGTCTGACAGTACTCTTACTACAGTCTGACAGTGTAACAGTACTCTTACTACAGTCTGACAGTACTCTTACTACAGTCTGATAGTGTAACAGTACTCTTACTACAGTCTGACAGTACTCTTACTACAGTCTGACAGTGTTACAGTACTCTTACTACAGTCTGACAGTGTAACAGTACTCTTACTACAGTCTGACAGTACTCTTACTACAGTCTGACAGTGTTACAGTACTCTTACCACAGTCTGACAGTGTTACAGTACTCTTACTAAAGTCTGACAGTACTCTTACTACAGTCTGACAGTGTAACAGTACTCTTACTACAGTCTGACAGTGTAACAGTACTCTTACTACAGTCTGAGAGTACTCTTACTACATTCTGACAGTGTAACAGTACTCTTCCTACAGTCTGACAGTACTGTTACTACAGTCTGACAGTGTAACAGTACTCTTACTAAAGTCTGACAGTACTCTTACTACAGTCTGACAGTGTAACAGTACTCTTACTACAGTCTGACAGTACTCTTACTACAGTCTGATAGTGTAACAGTACTCTTACTACAGTCTGACAGTACTCTTACTACAGTCTGACAGTGTTACAGTACTCTTACTACAGTCTGACAGTGTAACAGTACTCTTACTACAGTCTGACAGTACTCTTACTACAGTCTGACAGTGTTACAGTACTCTTACCACAGTCTGACAGTGTTACAGTACTCTTACTAAAGTCTGACAGTACTCTTACTACAGTCTGACAGTGTAACAGTACTCTTACTACAGTCTGACAGTGTTACAGTACTCTTACTAAAGTCTGACAGTACTCTTACTACAGTCTGACAGTGTAACAGTACTCTTACTACAGTGTTACAGTACTCTTACTACAGTCTGACAGTGTTACAGTACTCTTCCTACAGTCTGACAGTACTCTTACTACAGACTGACAGTGTAACAGTACTCTTACTACAGTCTGACAGTGTAACAGTACTCTTACTACAGTCTGACAGTGTTACAGTACTCTTACTACCGTCTGACAGTGTTACAGTACTCTTACTACAGTCTGACAGTGTTACAGTACTCTTACTACAGTTTGACAGTCTGACAGTCTAACAGTACTCTTACTACAGTCTGACAGTGTAACAGTACTCTTACTACAGTCTGACAGTGTAACAGTACTCTTACTACAGTCTGACAGTGTAACAGCACTCTTACTACAGTCTGACAGTAACAGTACTCTTACTACAGTCTGACAGTAACAGTACTCTTACTACAGTCTGACAGTAACAGTACTCTTACTACAGTCTGACAGTGTTACAGTACTCTTACTACAGTCTGACAGTACTCTTACTACAGTCTGACAGTGTAACAGTACTCTTGCTACAGTCTGACAGTACTCTTACTACAGTCTGACAGTGTTGCAGTACTCTTACTACGGTCTGACAGTGTAACAGTACTCTTACTACAGTCTGACAGTGTTACAGTACTCTTACTACAGTCTGACAGTGTAACAGTACTCTTACTACAGTCTGACAGCACTCTTACTACAGTTTGACAGTGTTACAGTAGTCTTACTACAGTCTGACAGTGTAACAGTACTCTTACTACAGTCTGACAGTGTAACAGTACTCTTAGTACAGTCTGACAGTGTTACAGTACTCTTACTACAGTCTGACAGTGTAACAGTACTCTTTCTACAGTCTGACAGTGTAACAGTACTCTTACTACAGTCTGACAGTGTAACAGTACTCTTACTACAGTCTGGCAGTGTAACAGTACTCTTACTACAGTCTGGCAGTACTCTTACTACAGTCTGACAGTGTTACAGTACTCTTACTACAGTCTGACAGTGTAACAGTACTCTTACTACAGTCTGACAGTGTTACAGTACTCTTTCTACAGTCTGACAGTAACAGTACTCTTACTACAGTCTGACAGTAACAGTACTCTTACTACAGTCTGACAGTAACAGTACTCTTACTACAGTCTGACAGTGTTACAGTACTCTTACTACAGTCTGACAGTGTTACAGTACTCTTACTACAGTCTGACAGTACTCTTACTACAGTCTGACAGTACTCTTACTACAGTCTGACAGTGTAACAGTACTCTTGCTACAGTCTGACAGTACTCTTACTACAGTCTGACAGTGTTGCAGTACTCTTACTACGGTCTGACAGTGTAACAGTACTCTTACTACAGTCTGACAGTGTTACAGTACTCTTACTACAGTCTGACAGTGTAACAGTACTCTTACTACAGTCTGACAGCACTCTTACTACAGTTTGACAGTGTTACAGTAGTCTTACTACAGTCTGACAGTGTAACAGTACTCTTACTACAGTCTGACAGTGTAACAGTACTCTTAGTACAGTCTGACAGTGTTACAGTACTCTTACTACAGTCTGACAGTGTAACAGTACTCTTTCTACAGTCTGACAGTGTAACAGTACTCTTACTACAGTCTGACAGTGTAACAGTACTCTTACTACAGTCTGGCAGTGTAACAGTACTCTTACTACAGTCTGGCAGTACTCTTACTACAGTCTGACAGTGTTACAGTACTCTTACTACAGTCTGACAGTGTAACAGTACTCTTACTACAGTCTGACAGTGTTACAGTACTCTTTCTACAGTCTGACAGTGTTACAGTACTCTTTCTACAGTCTGACAGTACTCTTACTACAGTCTGACAGTGTAACAGTACTCTTACTACAGTCTGAAAGTGTAACAGTACTCTTACTACAGTCTGACAGTGTAACAGTACTCTTACTACAGTCTGACAGTGTAACAGTACTCCTACTACAGTCTGACAGTAACAGTACTCCTACTACAGTCTGACAGTAACAGTACTCCTACTACAGTCTGACAGTAACAGGCCTCCTACTACAGTCTGACAGTTACAGTACTCCTACTACAGTCTGACAGTAACAGTATTCTTACTACAGTCTGACAGTGTTACAGTACTCCTACTACAGTCTGACAGTACAGGCCTCCTACTACAGTCTGACAGTAACAGTACTCTTACTACAGTCTGACAGTACTCCTACTACAGTCTGACAGTGTAACAGTACTGTTACTACAGTCTGACAGTAACAGTATTCTTACTACAATCTGACAGTACTCTTACTACAGTCTGACAGTAACAGTACTGTTACTACAGTCTGAAAGTAACAGTACTCTTACTACAATCTGACAGTACTCTTACTACAGTCTGACAGTGTTACAGTACTCTTACTACAGTCTGACAGTACTCTTACTACAGTCTGACAGTGTTGCAGTACTCTTACTACAGTCTGACAGTACTCTTACTACAGTCTGACAGTACTCTTACTACAGTCTGACAGTACTCTTACTACAGTCTGACAGTACTCTTACTACAGTGTTACAGTACTCTTACTACAGTCTGACAGTAACAGTACTCTTACTACAGTCTGACAGTGCTTCTGTCAATTCCATCTAATTCTACAACCTGAC